CGCCTCCTTGCTTCCCGTAGGTTTGAAGACTCCCACAATGAAAGCGTGTTTCTAAAGGTCACAGGAGCCCTTGCTGGGTCGCCCGTGGGCCCTGGACACGGACCCTTGAGTGCGTGGGGAGGGGCCGGCCGGCTTGGGGGCCGTTCTGGGAGACTCGGGCACTCCTCTCCCTGGTCTGCATTTGAGGAAACTGACAGGGAAAACTAGAAGAGGCACCCGAGGGTGTGGGGCTCCCACCCACCCCTCAAACCGTGCCCTGGGGAGCAGTACGGGGTGGGGGGGTCTCCTCTAGGTCCACTCACCCCTCAAACTGTGCCCTGGGGAGCAGTGCGGGCGGGGGTCTCCTCTAGGTCTGGTGGGCTTTAGATTGGGGTCACAGGGAGACCCAGAGCCCGCTAGTGCCTTCGCACAGGCACCAGAGCCCTCTGCCCCGGGGCTGCCTCCTTCCCCGACCCCTCAAGCTTCGGGTGCGGCTGTGCCCCCAGTGCCCCCAGTCTCCGGCTCTGAGACAGGTGCTTCCCAAGGCTCTGCTTCTGGGCCACAGCCAGGCCGAGTGTGGGGGCTGCTTGGTGCCAGGTGACATGAGGCCTGTGTCCCTAGCCACCCAGCCCACCCAGCCCACCAGACAGCCGGGATGGGGTGGGTGAGAGAGTTGGCAAGTGAGAGAGAGGAGAGAGACAGTCACACACGAAGAAGTGGAGGCTGAACATCCCCACCCTCATGGCACTCTCCTGGGACCCTCCTGGGACCCTCCTGAGATCCTCCTGGGACCCTCCTGCCCTCCTGGGACCCTTCTGGCACCTGGCCTGACGTCCCCTCAGCCATGATGCCCTGTGTGTCAGCTGCCGCCTGCCCACCTGCACCTCGGGGCCACCGGGGCAGAGATGGCCCCCTTCCTGCACATAGGAGGCACTCAGTGGTACTTGAGGGAGGGCCAGCATGCCCCCGGTTGACACTGGATGGGCTGAGCCCGACCGAGTCTCTCGCCCCGATCAAGCTGCCCCACACCCTGGGGATCCCTGTGCCCCCACGCCGGCCGGCCCCGCCGGCCACCTCCGCACAGGCGGGCAGGACAGCTGTTCGTCCCAAGGTGTCGCGGGAGAGGCTGGGCTGGTGGCACAGTTGGCAGTGCCAGGCTGTGGCCCGCCCCGAGGCAGATGCGTGCTCCAGCTGAAGGGGGATCTTTTATGTTCACCCTGGGAAGATGTCAGGCTGGGCAGGTCGCCAGAGCCCTGGGGCTCGCGCTTGGGAGCAGGGAGGCGGCGGGACCCGCATGGCATGAGAACCGCCCATGCCTGGCAGTGGGAGAAGCAAAAAGACGCCTCCTCCAGGCGCCGGCAGAACCTGCAAGTCACTAGGGAGGCTGGCTCGGGGTCCTTCCCACCAGATCCCGGCGACTCCTCTCCAGCCCACAGGCTTACCCGGGCCAGTGCCTGTCAGTGTGAGCAGGGACCCTCCCTGGCCTCAGCACACTCACTGTGACCCCTTGCCCAGGCTGGAGTACTCTGCATTTGTTAATTAATTTTCAGATGGAGTCTCGCTCTGTCGCTGCCCAGGCTGGAGCACAGTGATGTGACCTCGGCTCACTGCAGCCTCCGCCTCCCGGGTTTAAGCGATTCTCCTGCCTCAGCCTTCAGACTAGCTGGGATTACGGGTGCCCGCCACCACGCCCGGCTAATTTTAGAGACGGGGTTTCGCCATGTTGGGCCAGGCTGGTCTCAAACTCCTGACCTCAGGTGACCCACCCGCCTCGGCCTCCCAAAGTACTGGGATTACAAGTGTGAGCCACCCCCCGGCCATGCTTATTTATTTTAATTTTAAGAATATTTAAAGATCGAGACCAGCCTGACCAACATGGTGAAACCCCGTCTCTACTAAAAATACAAAAATTAGCTGGGTGCGGTGCGTGCCTGCAGTCCCAGCTAGGCTGAGGCAGGAGAGTTGCTTGAACCCAGGAGGCGGACGTTGCAGTGAGCCGAGATCGCACCACTGCACTCCAGCTCTTGGTGACAGAGCAAGACTCCATCTAAGGAAAAAAAAATTAAATAAAATAATAATAATAAATAAAGTTGGCCGGGCACGGTGGCTCAAGCCTGTAATCCCAGCACTTTGGGAGGCCGAGGGGGGTGGATCAGGAGTTCGAGACCATCCTGGCCAACATAGCAAAATGCTGTTTCTAATAAAAATACAAAAATTAGCCAGGCATGGTGGCGCACGCCTGTCATCTCAGCTACGCAGGAGGAGGCTGAGGCAGGAGAATCGCTTGAACCTCGGAGGTGCAGCGAGTCAAGATGGCCCCACTGCACTCCAGCCTGGGCGACACAGCCAGACTCCCTCTAAAAACAAACCAAAGACTGACTAAGCACCTGCTCCAGGGGCCAAGCATTCAGAGTGTGGCTGACTCAGAGCCAGCCAGGGGAGAAGCTGGTTACCACAGTCAACCGTAAGAGTAGCAAATAAGATACTGTCCAGCAGAAGGTGGTGAGCGCTGTCCAAACACTCGGGGTGGGGAGAGGGGCGAGGTGCCGGGAGAAGGCCTGAAGGAGGGGGTGCGGCCCGGGAAGCCACAGGAAGCGTGCTCTGGACAGGCAGCACAGCCTGTGCAAAGGCCCTGAGACGGGACCACACCTGACACCTGACTTGTGTAGGGAGCATGGAGACCCAGGGCCTGTCTCCTCAGTCACGCTGGTCTGTGGCCTACAACCACCCACGGCTCCCAGTGCCTTTGGCAGAAAGCCCTGCAGTTTGTACTCCTCTGCCCACGCCTGGCCTTTGTGTGTCTGGGTCACTGGGCCCCGGACCCCCCGACCCCTCCTTGCTGAGCCTCCCCAGACCCTGCCGTTCCCTCCCCAGGGTCTTCCCCACCTCCCCGCCGCCTGCAGCCTCTCTCAGCATTGTTTACCGCATTTACCAACCTCGGACCTGCATTTCCCACTTGGTCAGGACAGGTCCAGGTCGAATGCCCTGAAAGCTTATACAATTTGGGGGCTTTGGAGTGAAAAGCAGTGGAAGACCAGGAAGACAAAATCAGGCCAGGGCAGGCACTGAGCCCGCCTGGAAAATCTGCAGTTTGACTAAATACTAAACGAGCCAGGCGGAGTGGTGCGTGTCGCCTGTGGTCCCAGCTTACAGCTGAGGAAACAGAGGCTTAGGAAAGGGGGTGGCATCCCAGTCTCAGCCACACACGCGAGCCCCATCTCTGCACACCTCAGTGCTCACTGGATGCTTGTCGATGAACATGGACACCAAATGCTGAGGTAAGGTGCACAGAGCTACATGCTGAGCGGCTATACTTTTGCGAATCAGGCTTATATTTCTGTGTGCAAAGAAAAAAGACGAAGGAAGCACCTATGGGTGAGTGGCTGCTTTCTCGGGCGGTTGACCCTGCAGGGACCCAGGCCCCCCACCTGCTGGTCACCACCCCAAGAAACCCGTCCATCTCCCAAGGCTGGCCTGACCTGCAACTCTCACACCTTCCACGCGGTGCAGAGCATGAGGCGTCCACAGGCACTGTGGGCCCACGCCTGGGGCTGGGGTGCGGCAGAAAGAGGGACAGAGCCCAGGCAGGGAGGTGGGGGGGAGACCCGAGCCGGGGCCCACGTGGGCCGCGTACCCGGCGATGCCCCCCAACGCGCCCCTTCCCATCATCCTGTTGGCAGTCTCCATCCCACTGGACCCTTCTGCCTGTTGTCCACGCACAACCTCCAGCTCCAGGTATACCACAGGCGCCTAATCAATGAAAGCAGAATGGGCATCCCTATTCGCGGGTCACTGAGCATACACTCAGTGGATGATACCTGGGACTCCGTGGTCTCAGCCCAGGAGGGGCTGCCAGGCTGCCCGGGCACAGGGGCTCCAGGACCTGCCACCCTCCCCACGGGCATGTGGTGCTGCCTGGTGGCAGCAGCGGGGAGGGCCCAGCTGTGGAACTGGCAGGGCGGTCACTGCCAGGGACCCTGAGCCGGCCCCAGCTCAGAACACACTGGCCTCCCACCTGATTCCTGGCTTCTCTGGGAACCCACCCAGGCTCCCTAAGCCCCTACTCAGCCTCTTCTGGTGACCTCCACCCCGAAACCCCCGCTCAGACCAGGAGGCCCAGTGCCTACAGGGCTGACAGCTGCAAACCTCCCTCCACACCCAGTCACTAGCCCTGTGCCTTGCAACCTCCACGCTGTAAGCTCCGGGTCCCCCCCAAGTTCTCCAGCCCTGCAGCCACGTCTGTTCCCTGTGCTGGGCGGACACAGGCTGGGCATCCCTCAGCCTCCAGGAACCAGCTTCACACACCTGCTCTCCAGGAGCCGCAGGACCACGCCTGAACCTTGCCCAAGCAGCCCGCGCAGGAGGGTCGGTGCGGGCAGCTGTGGGGCAGGCAGCCGAAAGCCTCAGCCTTTGTCAGGCCCAAAGCACGCCGAGAGGAGTAACAGGCTCAGAGAAGACTCAGGTCAGTGCCAACCCTCTGCTGTGTGGCTCTGAGGCACGGGGTCGGTCCCAGCTGCCTTCCAAGTTCCCAGTCCAGCCCATGCCCCCAGGCCCCCAACACCCACTGGGGTCTCAGCAGACCCGTCCTCACACGTGAAGTCCCGGCACCGGACCCACCCCTGCTGTGGTCACCAGAGCCCAGGGTGAACACGCTCTCGGGCGACCCAAGCCCACCAGGCACAGACAGGAGCCAGGAGAGGGTGAGGGTGGGGGTGGGGGCGATCTTTATTGTGGCGTGGGTGGGACAGGGGCTCCCACTGAGTCCTGGTGCTGTGGAGAGTGGGCTGTCCTCGAGGGGCGAGCTGGGGAGGGGCGTCCACGGTTCTGGAGTCCCAGCGACGGCGCCAGTTCCCCAGCAAACCCTCCAAAGAGCTACCCCCGGATGCACAGGCAAGGAAGGGGCTGGGGTGACTTGAGGCCGTGACGGGGTTGCCCTCAGTGTGGGCAGATGAGTCCTCTGTGGCCAGGAGGTCGGAGTCGTCCCTGAGGCTGAGTCAAACACAGACCTGTGGCCTTCATAAACTTAAACATAAAAGCGCAAAAATGGCGCAACCAGACAGCATTGGCTTCAGACAGGCAGGATGCGGGCCCCTCGTGTGACCTGTGACCTTCCGCAGCCAGCGGAGAAGGCTGCGCCGCCCCCCCGCCATGACTCAGACCCAGAGGCGGAAAGCCACAGGCGGGCCGCGGCGCCGCAGCTCCCGGGCTCTCGAGAAATACTCACAAAGGAAAAAACCTAAGGAACAGAATCCTGAATGCAGAAAGAAAACCCTACTTTTTTTTAAAAAGACGAAAGCGTATGATGGGAATCTATGGGGTGGGTTTTCTTTAAGAGGCGAGAACTTGGAATCTTGCAAGCACTGGGAGTGGACTCCAGCGGCGACGCAGACGCGGGGGCGGGGAGCGTCCTCGGGCCACCTGGGGACAGGGAGGGGCGCTCAGACTGGACCCACCTCCCAGCGGCCCACAGGCGGGACCCAGGAGCCCACTGCCCCGGCTCAGGAGGAGCTCCCGCCCGCCTGCCCGCCCGCCGCACCTGGCTAGGAGGAGTTCCTCTGTCGGACTTTCTTGCCTTTGTCGTTCAGGTGCTGCCCAGTGCTCTTCCTGGGGCATGAGGGGCCGGGTGAGAGGGTGTCTCCGACAAGTCACCCTCTCCGAGTCACCCCTGCCCACCCCGGCCCCCAGGACCCCAGAACACTGAATCCGGGGGCTCTGTCTTTGTGTTTTAAAGGCCTGGGGCAGCAGGCAGCTCCTTGGGACCCCAAACCCCACAGCTGGGACTTACAGGGGAGCAGAGCCCGCGTCGTCATCTGAAGGAGGACCGCCACCATGAAAGAGAAGACGAGAGAACAGCCTGTCAGAGCTGCTCCCACTCAGGCCCCCGAGCAGGGACATCTGTGCTGCTGGCCCTGCCCTCAGTGACCTCCAGGTGGCTCAGGGCAGCGCATCAGCCCCGGCCGTGTGCATCTTCTGAGGCCGAATGGTGCGGGGAAAACCCGCCCTCCCCACCTGCAGTGTGCTCCCCACCGCAAGCTGTCCTCCCCCCACGGCGAGCTGTCCCCTCCCACGGCGAGCTGTCCCCTCCCAAGGTAAGCTGTCCCCACGGCCTCATGGGCCTCACTCCTGCCCCCCAGTGCTTTCCAAGAGCCGCCACCACAGGCCCACACAGGCCTCGCCCCAGAACACGCAGCCCGAGGAGCAGAAGAGCCGCAGGCGCTGCCGGGGCCGAGCATGGCTGACCTCAGGTTCCCGAGCCCGATCATGCAGAGGCCAGGACTCCCTGATACCATAGCCCTGGGCTCTTCGCAGCTGCCAGAAGGTCGGGCGGAGCAGCAAGGGCTGGCTTACCATGGAGGACACTGGCTTGCAGCCACGTGAGGGGGAGGGAAGGGTTGGGTGAGGCTGTGGGGTGAAGCTGCTGCCTCTTACTCCTCCTGGGGTCTCGCTGCCCACTGAGTCGCAGCTGCCCAGGGACGGACCGGACGCTCCATCCCACACTGCCTTTCAGGGTCCTATCAACTCCCCGCCCGGGGCTCCTTGCTTCCAAGCACTGGGTCAGCGGTGGGGCTGGCAGGGACTGACCAGGAGTGGACCCGGACCACCCCAAGAGCGGGGCGTGTGGGCAGGAGGGCAGACGGCTCACCATCCAGGACGTCCTCGGGCTTCCGGCGCTTCTCATAGATGAAGATGATGGTGACCAGCACCAGCACCTCAGCCACGATGCCCAGGAAGGGCCAAAGGGCAGCCAGGTGGCTGCGCACGCGGAGGGTGACCACGGCCTGGTCAGTGCCCTCGGAGCTGGTGCCATTGCACGCGTACTTGCCGGGGTCGGCCTCCATGTTCAGGTTCTCGATGCGTAGCTCCGACTGGCCCTGCGAGGAACTCACGAAGAACCTGCCCTGGGAGCCGTTCACGATGACCTAGGGGGACCAAGGACAGGGGCTGAGCCCGGGACCCCGGACCTAGGCCCCTCACCCGGTCCTGAGGGCTGAGCCCGGGACCCCCGGCCGCCCTGGCTTCTCACCTGGTCCCCAGAGTCAGTTATCTTGTACCAGACCCAGTTGGTGATGGGGGGCAGGGACTCTGACTTGCAGGCCAGCACGGCCGTCTCCCCCTCGCTGACGTGTTCTGACGACTTCACAGCCTTCACTCTGGGGGCGCCTGACAGGAGGGCTGAGAGAGAGAGGAGCCTGGAACCGCAGGGCTCCCCGCAGCGCGAGGGCTGTGCCCCTCCAGGGAGCAGGGCAGGGCTCCGGGATGTGCCGGGTGCTTCAGGCCAACCGCTTCCCCCGATAGTCGGCGGCGCCTGGCACCCCTGGCTGCAGGACTCACCGTCGAGCTGGATGTCGGCCCTGCCCGTGGGCTCGGGGAGGAAGACGCAGGAGTACTCTCCCGAGAGGTCGTCGGAGTCCACCCTGCAACCACAGCAGGTGGTGAGCTGGGCCCGGCTCTGCAGGACGCCTCCCCGGACCCAGGGCTCTCCAGGGGCCCAACCACGGCACAGTGAAAAAGTCAAACTGTCCCAGTCAAATCTGAACCTCAACAAAACTCCTGGTGTCCCCATACGGCCCCAGGGACAGAGCCAGGCTGCCAAGACCCTCCAGGTGAGAGAACCAGCAAACAGGACCCTCTCCCTGACGACGAACCCGTCACCTCTGGTCCCTGCTCTGCACCCCACACCCTGGGACTGTCTTCCCAGTGAGCCTCAAAACAAAAGGCTCTGTCCTCCCAGGGCCGTCCCAGCTCCAGTGATGACAAGGCTCTGGCCATGACAGCGTCTGGGGGCTGAGCCAGGCAGGCCTCAGTGTGGCGCCCTCTTGTGTCAGGAGCACAGAGCCTGGGAGGCCTGCACGTGTGCCCGGGACCTGGCAGTGTGGCACCCTTTTGTGCCCGGGACCTGGCAGTGTGGCGCCCTTTTGTGCCCGGGACCTGGCGAGGGAGCAACAGGGACGCCTGTCAGGGCTACTGGAGCCACCTGGCTCCCAAGGGCGCCCTTGGACCCCTCCCTGGGGTTTCCCTCTGGGGGTCCGAGTGGAGCTGGTCCCTAACTTCCGCCTGGATCGAGCCTGGCGACCAGTCTTTTGTTCTCACGGACCACAGGCCACTCGCGGCAAGAGAGCTGTGAGAAGGGGCACGTGGTGGCGTTCCGTGGTCCGGCACTCACTCGAAGTCCGTTTTCTGGCCGGGCAGCGTGTCCTCCTTCAGCACCGCGCCACCTTTCAGCCAGCGGTGCCCGGTGACCTCTGTGGAGCTGTCGTTCAAGGAGCAGGTGAGGAGTGTCTTCGAGCCAATGTTTTCTACGGAAGTGGAGACTGTGCCGGCTGCGAGGCCCGGCGAGACGGGGTCAGCAGAGTGGAGGAGCACGGCCGCGCTGCCTGCCTGAGCCCCAGGAACCTGTGGCTCCTCCCGGGAAGGGCTTGTTTTCACTCCCGAAAACACCGTGGCCCTGACACCCCGAAGACTGGAAGCCCAGGGGGAACTCTGACCGCGCCTCCGGGAAGAGAAGAGCCACAAGCGCCTGCTGAGGAGGCCCCTTCGGGAAGGCGCCCTTCGCCGGCAGCTGGCGGGCCCTGGGCTAAGGCGCTGGCAACCGAGCGGCCCCGCCTAGTGATGTTCCTGCCCGGAGACACACGAGGCTGGGACCGGGGTGTGGGGACAGACAAGGCACCACTCACGTCCCTGAGCCAGCACCAGGGCATCAGGCCCTTGGAGCAGCCCTAGCACAAACTGGAAATTCCTTTCTAAAAACGTAGCCGGCCGGCGCGGTGGCTCACGCCTGTAATCCCGGCCCAGCACTTGGGAGGCTGAGGTGGGCGGATCACAAGGTCGGGAGTTTAAGATCAGCCTGGCCCACATGGTGAAACCCCATCTCTACTAAAAGTACAAAAAAATTAACCAGGTGTGTTGGCTTGTGCCTGTAATCACAGCTACTTGGGAGGCTGAAGGAGGAGAATCGCTTGAACCCAGGAGGTGGAGGTTGCACTGAGCCGATACCGTGCCACTGCACTCCACCTGGGCAACGGAGCGAGAATCCGTCTCCAGGAGAAAAAAAAAAAAAAAATAGCCACAGCACCCCCTGGCCAAGGCTCCCATGCCCTTCTCTAGGAGGCACCCAGGTGGCTCCACACCCCCCGACCCCAGGCTGACAGCACTCCAGCAGTGCTGGGAACACCCGTTCTTCTGCCAATCCCCAACAAGCAAATCTCTTGGTTCTTGGTCAGTTTACAATATTCCCACTAGGAATTAAAATGTGAAAATCCCTTAGAAAGACACGCTGGGAAGGACACAGAAGGTTCTGAGACCTGCAAGCCTGGGCTGAGCTTGGAGGCCCCTCAGGCTTGCAGTACGGACGCTCAGGGAGGGAGCTGGGCAGGCGCCCCGGGGAGCAGAAAGGAACGGCGGAACAGACGGCACGAGGAGGGTCGAGGGGAGGACGAGGACCCACCTGCCGGAGGGCAGAGCCCTGCCCTCCCCAAGCCAGGCTGCCAGCACTGGTGGTCAAGCAGCGAGCCCACCCTCTTCAGGTCCGGGCCCCTCTGTCCAGGTGGTGGGCTCATGGGGCACAGCGGGACGGAGAGGGGAGGAGGCGTCTGGGTTCTACGGAGCAGGAGCCGGGAGGCGAGCGGCACAGGAGGGAAAATGAAGGAGGCGGGGAGGGCGGTGCCCGCCACTCACGTTCCAGGACTAGCACGACTGCCTGGGCGCGGACCCACTTGACCCTGGGCGCCCGGGTCAGGTGGTTGCGGTCCGGGTCGTTGCTGGCCCGGCACTCATAGGTGCCCGTGTCCTCCTCTGCAAGCGTGTCGACGGTGATGGTGCTGGCCGCGTGCTGGTGGTAGGTGGCGTGGATGTGGACGCGGTCCAGCCGGGCGCCGTCCCAGAGCTGGGAGCAGGTGTCGTTGGGACCGTGCCCTTCAAACCACCACTGGATCTCGGGCACCGGGCTGCCCACGGCCTCGCAGTGCAGCTCCACACTGCCCCCCACCCACCTCTGCTGGGACAGCGGCGCCTGGACGAAGCCGGCTGCAGGGAGAGTGCGGGGGCTTTGTTAGTGCCCAGGGGACTTGGGAGGGCAGCCCCTGGGGAGGGCCTTGCCACAGGACTCCCAGCCAGGACGGGTGGGAAGCCACTTCCTTTCCGCGTGTGGGGGAGTGATGGGGCCCGGCTGGAAAGAGCATGGCACGGGAAAGACTGGGGGGGCCACCGTGGCCGTCCAGTCCACTCCTACCTCATGGCAGCCACGGCGGCTTCTGAGGGCACAACTGTGGGACCACACACCGTTTCAAAACACAAAACACATGAAACTGTGCAGAACAGCCAGGAGTCCTGAGCCCCGAGGGCTGCCGGGAGCTCAGCTCCCAAGGGCAGCGTCCTCTGCCTTCTGCCCGATAGCCCCACCCCAGAGACCCGGTGAGCTGCTGAGAAAAACAAACCCCAAAGCCAAAGGGTCAGGTGGCCTCTGTCCGGGAGCTCCTAGCCCGGCTCCTTTAGGATGGCCCGTGGGTGGAAAGCTGGTGTCCTCAGCAATCTCTGAGGGTGATGACCCAGAGAGATGGGGCTTTGGGAAGCTGGGAGCCAGGCAGGGCCTCAGGGTCCCTCACCTCTGGCCACCCGCCACCCCTTCCTTCGAAATGCAAGGGAAGGCCCCCAGAGCCAGGAGCACAAGGGAATCCACACAGACCCTCACACTGTGCCTGGCACCCGCCTGTCAGAACAGCCCAGCCCAGCCTAAGGGGAAGCATGGGGAGTGCCTCCTCGCCCCGGGACCTGGCAGCCCCCTCCCCACAGCACCCTCTGAGGTCAGGCTCCCCAGGCACCGCCACAACACACACGTATACAAGGACACACATCTGCAGACACACATGCCACAACACGTACACGTGTACACGCATGCTCATGGCCCCGAGGCTGCGTGGCAGTGCACAGGTCACAGGCCCCAATGCCACAGGGACAGCAGATGTTCGCCCCTGACCACCGGAGGCGAACTCCAGGCAGGCGCAGTTAACAAGTTCTGGCACTGCCATTTTCTTTTTCTTCTCTTTTTTTTTTTGAGACAGTCTCACTCTGTTGCCAGGCTGGAGTGCAGAGGCACAATCTCAGCTCACCACAACCTCTGCCTCTGGGGTTCAAGCAATTCTCCTGCCTCAGCCTCCCGACTCCTGAGTAGCTGGGATTACATGTGGCCACCGCACTCAGCTAATGTTTTGTATTTTCAGTAGAGACGGGGTTTCACCATCTTGGCCAGGCTGGTATTGAACTCCTGACCTCGTGATCCACCCTCCTGGGCCTCCCAAAGTGTTGGAATTATAGGCGTGAGCCACCGCGCCTGGCTGGCAGTGCCATTTTCACAAAGGGATCTCCTCCTGGTAACCTACATTTCTTGGGAGTTAAGATTTCCCAGACTGCAAAACCGGCAGCTACATGCAGAGCTGGGCGAGGTGAGTCAGGGCAGGAAGCACAGCCAGAGGCGGCCCAGCTGGCAAGCCCCTTCCTGCCCTGCAGCAGCCCCTCTCCTCATCCTCTGCCCTGCAGGGCTGCGCTCCACATCCTCCTCACCCAGGGCTGCTAGGAGAGGGCTGGCTCCTGAGTCACCACACCCCACCACCAGGCCGGGCAGGGCACACAGGGCAGAGGAGGACCAGGCGGGGGCCCCACCCACCTTCCCGGGAGTTCCGGGCTCCCAGGGACCATCTGCACTGGTCACGGTGCTACCACTGGGTCCGCCACCTTCTCAGCGGGCGGCGTCCCTCCCAAAGGGACCAAAAGGCTTTGGACAGAACGACCCTGTGGCCCCTCCAGATGCTGATGGCGTTTGTGTCTGTACTGAAATGTCACTGGGGTGGGCTGTCTGGAAGAGAAAGCCTCCACAGAGGCTCCTCGGGGGCAATGAGAGCCCCCCACCCCACCCGCGACCCCACCTCGCTGCCGCACCAGGAGCCTCTGCCCATGAGCACCAGGAGGATGCGCAGCGCCTGACACTCGGCCACAGCCCCAGAAAGGTTAGAATTCGATTCTGGCCATATGAGCTGCAACCCATGTTCTCAAGTAAAGTCACCTTCATCTAAAAACAGCCGCCGCCTCCTTGCCCACTCGGCAGCCAGGCCAGGGCTCTGGGCCAGGCAGGCCGCGTGGTGCTTGTACACAAGTGGCCCTGCAGGATAAGGCTGCCGGCCCCCACCCACCCCCACC